ACCGAGCCCCATCAGGGACCTGTTAACGATATGGTCTAAGCACTACAGTATAACGAGCATGCTTATCTGCAGTCGAACCACGGTAGCACGACATACAGCATGTAACCGCCCGGTTGGTTCTGACACACGGGGGACAGAAGGTGATGAATGGCATCCAACACGCCCCCTCCCTCTGCCTGCGCGAGCCGTCCAATCGTCTTGGGCCCGCGCCCTCCGCGTGGCGTGCTTGGCGTGCAGGACCCCTTGGACGATCCGGGCGAGTTGGCGTTGAGCAAAAGAGGGTGCCTGGCGCCTCGTACGCTGCCAAGGATCGACCAAGGCAGTCCGTTTCAGCAATGACGGCGTTGGCGATGAGACACGGAGCAAACAGACAGGCCCATGCAGACATGTATGTACAGTATGTGCGAAGGGGCGTCCAAGGGGTCGTCGGGAGACTGGCTGATGGGGAGGCAGGGAGGGGACTGGCTCAACTCAACCCGATAGCCCTATTTGTCCGAGGCTGCAACGCAGCATGCACGCAGCAAGCCTAGACATGCATCGACCTTGAGATTCGCCGTCCCAGGCTGCGTCGACTGCAGCCGCCCCTCGTCGGCTTGCATGGGGCTATCCAAGGGCCGAGAACAGCCGGCAAGAGCAGCGATCGGCCGCGCTTTGCAGACATCAGCGGCTTGCTTATGCTCTCCGGCTCGTCTCGTCTTGGCAGACCGGGGCCTTTTGTACGCTGTGAACTGAACCCTCGACGGTTCTGGAGTCTTGGCTGGAAACAGCATGTATACTTGTAGGCTGCCTTGTGCTTCGCTCCGGGAGACTTCGGGAGACCGAGATGGTGTTCTGCAAACGCCCATGTAGGCAAGAGACAGTGACGACAGTGACACAACGCGAGAGCTTCCCCGTCTTACAAGACTCTTTCGGCACCTGCACGTACATGTAAGCGGAAACGACGGCCCCAGCGGCGCGTGCCCATGCCGACTGTCCAGTACATGACGTCGTTGCACGACAGCAACCAAAGTGATGATGCGGTCGACAAGGGCCAGAGAGAAGCGTTCTGGAAGAGGCGGAGAGACGACCCAGACGGGACCGAGGACCAATCACGCCCAGAGCCAAGAGCACCCACCCGGTCGACGTCAAGACGAGCCATTCACGGGTCCTTTGGTCCAAGGCAGAAAGAAACAACGGAGATGCAGGCAGAGGAACATGCATGGAAGCAGCAGTGGAATAGAGTTGCTCGTCCCATGCGGTGCAACCTTGGCCCAGGCAGCCTGTCCGTAGCTCGAGGGATTCGTACTGTCCGAGCGTCGCAGTGCGTCGGGCATCTGACAAGAAAGGGGGCGTGAGGGGAGGGGGGCGTGAAGGGGGGGTGGATAGGGGGTTTGACGTGACGCTGTCTACTCGCCATGGATAATACATCTACAGACAGGCGAGCCACTGCACTGTACCGTACGGTGTAGCACGGGGACGATGCGTGACGCGGACCACGATTCATCCCTATAGCCTCCCAGAGATATACGTCCATGCAGACGCCCAGCCAAGGCCCGGATCGGACTCGAACCCGGAATCGGTGGCAAAGCCGACGCCGCGCCGTCATGGCTGGAGAGCGCCTCCTTGGCAGCAAGCAAAGACGGGCGACGCCGGCCTGTCATGGACGCTCGAACGGGCCGTCCGGGGGGGGTGCTACAGCAGGGGGAACTCATCTGTCTCCTCCTCACCACCCCAGACACACGCGGCGTGAAAGGGCGGAGAGGGAGCAAAATGGCGGCGAGACAGGAGCGCGAGGGCAGCGTCGCACCGACAGACGCGCTGGCGCCATGCAGCGATCAAGGCGGCGTGGGGGAGGACGAGAGGCGCAAACAGGGGACGGCCGCATCTTAAGCTTGCCCGCGGCCCCAGGTCCGATGCCGGATCTCGATGGAGAGGGGGACCCGGACGGGCGTATTGTACTGTACTTTGCTCGTATAAGGCGGAGACGGCGTCTTTGTAGCTGTACTCGAGCGTGGTGATGTGCTGCATGTGGCATGCAACGCACTCCTCTCTGCGGCACGCCCCCCTTTCAGCAGTACTGCGTCTATGAAGTTCTATTTTTGGCTTCTCAACTGGCGGGCATGTTTTTACATACTGTATTACTCTTTCCGGTCTCTACCCCGGCTCAACGGACTGAATACGCAGAAATAAAGACGACACCGAGTGGCCGACCCCTCTGATCGCCGCCCTCTCGGCATCCGACATCCACGCAACCCCCGGTGTAGTCCCGCGGAGCCGGTCGGGCCCCGCCGAAGTCTTCGGCAGGCACCCGACGGCCGAGCCCCGGGCATCCGCAGCCGGGGCAAAGAAAGGGCTGTGTGCCGATCGCCGCCACGGCCTACCCTAGTCTAGTGCACGTGTATGCCGCATAAGGGGTGAATACGCAGGGTGAGACTTGCATTATCTTGACTGGTTGAGGCGCTCGAAGCGTCCTCTGCTTTGCCAACATCGAAGGCGCCGCCGTCCTTCGCCACGAGCCCGATATTCGACCGAGAAAAGCGAATACGCGCCCATAGCAGGCTCCGCCGAGGCCACACACTGCCACGCTGGCCCAGCGGCGTGGACATGATGCTCCGGGAGTGCCCTCGAGCACCCTCTCAACTCTCGACGCCCTGCTGCGCCCGAGGTAGGGGAGGGGCAACCACGCCTCTGGTGTCCGGGAGGGGAGCCTTCGCAGATAGCCGATCGTGGCCGCCTCTAGCCAGACAATGGCAGCAGCAGCCTTCTTCCACGAGTCTCATCCGGCTTGGAGAAAGGCCCGAGATCGAATCAGCCGACGGTGACAGGCCCCCCCTCCCCCCTTGGCGGCGGCGGCGGATTGCTCGGGCGCCCGGGGCCCTCGAGCGCGCCGCGCATGGGCACCGACGACGACGCTCGGCTTTTTCTCCAAAGGAGGGTTCCAGCGGCGGGGAGAATAGGAAGAGCTCTCGGCGTGCTGCCCAGGCAGAAGGCAGGGCAGGTTAACCACGAGCCCCCATCACCCTGCTGCGACAGGGAGGGTTGTGAAACGCGCCCCGGTTTTTCCTTCTCTTGGGCAGCTCGATTCGACTCGGGCGGGATCGAGGGGAGAAAAAGTCCCCGTCCGCCGTCGTCTTGCTGTAACCCTTTGACGCGGATGGCCAAGCTCCTTTTGTCTTCTTCTGCCAGTCGTCGGCGGATGAACGGGCCATCATGTGACATGTCAAGTGAGTCGGGGCCTCACAAGATGGATGACCCGGCCGAGGGCGGCACGGCGGCACTGTACAGGACGGCATGCACATCTTATGTACCGTCGAATCCGATCCGTCAGAGGGCACACGTCGCCCGGCCGGGATCATGGCACCCACTGGCAGCCCGCTCGCTGAGCGCCACCAGAGCCAGGACACGCCATGTGCCCCGGTGCGTGTTGGGGACCGAGGTCAACGCTTCGCACACACACACGTATTGAGTAGATGGATGGGCGCTATCAAATGCATGTATTTGGGCATGAGCGTGTGCGCGCCCGAATTCCTGGCATGTGCTTCGGTTGATCCCTCGATCCTAGCCATCTCATCCTCCCATGGCCCACGTCCGCCCACGTCCCCGGAGTCTGGGCCCTTCTCCCTTCTTGCTCGCCTTGCCGCCACGGCACGTGCACGCGCAGCGGCAACCATGGAGCTCTGCGCATGGCGTCGGCTTCACCACGGCCGTTGCGCGAGCCATCACCTGCCTGGCCGTTGCACGTGTCGACGACGGCGACTGGCTTGCCGCGGTGGCGACCTTGATCCTCGCGGCGCCCGGCTGGATGTATGTATGGGCCGGAGTAGTGTGTGTGTGTTTGTGTGTGTGGTGTGTGTGCGCGCGCGCGCGTGTGTGTGCAGAATGTGTGTGTAGGAGCCTGTTTTCCTTTCGTGACACAAAGCGGCCGCAGGGGTTCAACGCTGCTTGCCTACACGAGGGCGGATGGTGCGGCCACGCAGAAAGGGCCAAACAGGGCCGCCCGCGGATCGGTCTGGACCACTCAAGGTCGTCTTTTTGGCTGTCGCTGTCTCGCTGTGTCCCAAGGCGGGAGGAGAGGCCAGTCTGGCAATTCAAAGTCGGTCTTGGCCCGGCCCCGAAACCGAGTCTGCCGTCTCAAGAGTGCTGCTCAACCCTCTCGATGGAGCGGGCCGGCGAGGACGAGATTGGTGCGTGTGGGGTCCGAGAGACAAGATAAAGAGAGATAGGTTGCAGGCTGCAGAAACGGGCATGCTTGGCAACGTTCTTTTGGCCCGCCCCAGGCTCGCGACGGCCGCGCATTGGTCGAGCTCCGGGCCGCGGGCTGCGGAGAAGAGCAGCCGCCCATCCACCCCGTCCCTGATTCCCAGGGTCCAGACCCGGCAGTGGCAGGGATATGCGAGGCAGCTGTCTGTCGTTCCTTGAGTGCGGGACGGGAGGTTCAAGGGCCTCGCGGCGCGACTGGGCCTGTGCAACGCAGGGAGCGATACTGATTGCTCCCATGCACGCCAGGTTGCGGCAGTTGAGCGGCCGTGTACGAGACAGCTCGTGCGATACGACTTCTGACCGGTGCGACTTGCAGCGCCCAAGGGACGGACAACATGTTGGTGTTGAGCTAGGGAGACGGACGGGAAGGGGACCGAGCCAGCAAGAATGACAACAGAAAAGAAATGCGATTAAACGGCGAGTACGTGAGTTGCACATGTAGTCTGCAAAAGCTCGTAGAAGAGAAAGCCAGTCGTAGGGGCACCTTGATTGGCTGCCCGCCCGCCTCGATGCCGCCACCCATCCAATCCGGTCCCATCACCCATCATCAATTTGCGATGGTCATGCCGTTCGTTGTTCACAGAGAGGTATATCCCGCAAACCCATGAGGCCGGCCGCCTGGGACTCGAGACACAGTCGACGCCAAAACTCCAGCGCCGCGAAAAGACTGTGACAAGCGAAAGAGAGAGACAAGCAAGCCCAAGGGGAGGGAAAAAAAGACGGAGAACAAGGCGAGAGGGGCGACGCGTCGCAGATGGTCGTCAGCCCTGTCGTCGCAGAGGCCTATGCTCGGGCCGCAGGGCGGTGGCATCGTCCATGGCATCATGATAGATCATGACGTCTCTTCTGCCCTTCCACCAATCCAGGTCGGGGATCTCGTCGGCGGAGCCGTCGAGCAGGGTCTGGAGCATCTTGTTGAAGCCCCAGTCGTAGGCCTGCTGGGTGATGTAGCCGGCATCGACCATGACGGTGAGGGCCTCGTGGACCCAGTGGCGGTCGCTGAACTCGTCCTCCTTGGTCTTGACGGGGGCCGACTTCATGGCGTCGAGGAGCTGCTCGGGCGTCAGGGGCGGCGTCTTGCCGACGCGGACGCTGGGCAGGGCGCCTCTGCTGTCGCGCGGGTCGAAGCCCTTCTTCACCTCAAAGACATAGCCGTCGGTGCCGTCGGCCAGGTGGAAGTAGTAGTAGAGGCCGTTTTCCAGCGGAGCGAAGAGCAGGCCGGCGTGGCGCTCGTCGCTCGTGTCGCGCTTCTGTCCTCGCAGGACGACGATGTACACGAGGTAAATCTGCTTCATGTCCGTTCTTCCCCCCTCCCCGGGTGCGCAACGGGGGTGCCGACGGGACGAGACGCTGCGCGGAGAGTTGCAAGAGCACGATCGTCAGCCTTCTCACCGCGGGCTTGGATGGATGGCGACAGAGGGGAAAGGGGGAAATGGCGTGAGCGGAATGGCGAGAGAGAGAGAGCCAAGGCAAGGCAGAGTCGGGCCGGGGGGGCGAGGAGACAGTGTTGGGGCCGGAGGCAACAAGGTTGACGGTTCTTTTACCTGAGACGTGAGGACAAGACAAGGGGGGGCGCCTTTTCCCAGAGTAGGGATTTGTTCAGCACTAGGTATCGACGGCAGGCCAAAGGAGGGGGAAGAAAGAAGCCGGATATGGGCTAATGTGAGGATTGGGAAAAGGCTAAAACGAGAGGGGGGAAACCGAGAGAAGCAGGTATTTATTTAACGGATCATCCAAGGGGAGAAACGGATGGACGACGAGGAAGGCAACGGACCGACCATCCATCAGGGCACTGATACAGCCCGCTCGCCGTACGTATAGGCTGCCATAATTATACGCATTGCTGCGGTCTCTACACTCTACACTCTACACCCTACACTCTACAGCACTACACAGCATCCATCTCTGACCGCCCCGCGTTGAGCCCGGCCGGCATGGACGGCCAAACATCAGGTCCGTGTATCTTTGCTTGTAGTTAGTTAGTTACTCTACGTGCTCGTTTGCATCTCCACCAAACCCCGCTCTCCCCCCCCCTCCCCTTCGTCGCCGGCTCGACATGTTCGAAATGCCATCCAACCACGCATCGCTTTGCCGTCGCCGAAAGCGTTGAGGCGCATGCAGACCAATCGGCCTGGCTATCTGCGCTCCAGTCGCGAGTTGTGCGCGGCATGTGCAAGCTTGGCCCCCCCGAGTCACGACAAGGGACAATGCGTAACCGGCAAGGTTTTCGTCTTGTTTCATCTTCTGCCCGGCTCGGACATGGTTCAGCCCGCCTTGCGGCGCCTCTGAAGGCTCTGATATCCTCGTCGTTGTTGCGAGGCTGGTGCAAGAACCCCAAGGTTGCGTCGAAGCTGCATACATGCACACTGTATCTCGAGCCTGCGTTGCCGTCCCGCGAGGAAGCCTCTGGTTCCGGCAGCGCGGTTATCCCGCACCCAACGCTGCTTTCCACGTCGTCCCCCACGATGATCCGTTTCGCCCCAGGGGTTTAAGCCGTCCGTCCTTGACGCATCAAACGTGCGCGCGTCAAAGGCGAACACGACGGCGGCACGGCAGTGGGGCGTCGCCGTCCCCCCAAGCCCGCCCGCCGCCACGCGAGACTACTGGATGATCCGGCCTTGGCAACTCGCCTTCCACTAGCTGAGCTCGACATGGCGTCTGAATGCCGACGCCAAAACGAGCTCGCCCGCAGTGACCGCAGTGCGTTGCGGGAGCGAGACCACCAGCAGAGATGCCGGCTCCAGACGACCACCTCGCCACAAGCACCTGATGTGCCGTCTGGAGTGGTTGCGTCTCTATCAAACGAATGGAAAGAGAGCAGCGGCACACACGCGCACAAGCGTCTGACTTGCGAGTGAGTTCGACGACTACAGTCCGCCCGCCTACCAATGATTGGCCCTCGACGTATTGGCCCTCCCCCGGATCTAGCCGTCTCCCACGCAGGCAGTTTTCCCCATGTCCGTTCTCGCTACAACTCTGGGCAGATGGTAGGGCTCGGTATAAGCCTTGGCGCAGACGGCCAGACGCCAAGCGGCAGACACGGTGGCACACACCTCTCTCCCTGGGTACTTGGCCAACCGACCGACACACACCGAAGGAATAGCGACGTAGCATCGCTCTCTCGGCCGCCCTTGACAACGTCGCGGCCGAGCGCGGCGGGAGCATCTTAGCAAGCTACGCGTTGTAACGCTGGCATGGCACTAGGCTAGGCCAAGGCTCTTGTTGGTCTCTATCTTTACCCCCCCTCCTTTGAATCTCCAAAAGATGGGTTGAAAAGCTTGACAGCGAAGAGAGCAGGGAGGGGAGCGAGCAGGCCGATGGAGCGAGATCTGCCGATGGCCATGGAGGGCCTTCCCGGTCTTTCTCGCCTTGCATCTGACAAGCTACCGCTCCCGCTGCGACGCATCTCTTCCTGTGGAAACGCAAGCCGTGGTTTTGCGGCTCGGCAAGGCAGGACGTGGTACGGCAGGATTCTTGCAACTCCTTCTTCTCCCCCCAACTCCCCCCTGGAGCCATGGTTGAATCTCCCGAGTAGATAGTCGCACAGTCGCGGCCCGGGACGCTCACCGTGCGCGTGTAGCGAGAGACAAAAGAGAGATGTCAAGAGCGACTGCGGCCGGGCAGCGACGGCACACATGCCAAGGCACGTTGGTGAAGACGCCGGAGGAGAGAGCAGTCGCCCTCACGCCACCATCCCTCGTCTCAGTGGCAGCAGAAGCGGCGGCCCTCGTCGACAAGCGGGCGAAAGGATGAAGCGACGCAACTCGTGCGTGCATACATAGGCGGCGAGCGTTATACATGCTGCATATTCCCCCCTACCCCCCCCACGCGCGGCGAGACGAGGAGCGATGCAACCCTCCGTCGCTCGATGGGGCCGGGGACATGAGGCATGGTCCTTCTGGCGAGACCGGGCATCGGCGTCACAAGGCTCGTGAAGCTGCCGTCAGCAGTCGACATCAAGCCGCAGAGGCCAAAAGCCCGTGGCGACCCGAGGTCTCGCTCCCCTCGCTCATCCTCGCCCATCAGGCCACAAGGGAAGGGGGACGAAACAGGCCAGCCAGCCTGGGCCAAAGGCACACTGGCTGTCCCACTCGGCGGCGGCGGCAGCAGCAGGACATCTCTCGGCGTTACTCTGCAGCAGCCGCGACGACCAAGCGTCCCGTGCTGACTTGGAAGCGGCGACTGGATAGCGTCAGCAGCCGGACAAAATGGGCGACGGCATGAACTGGCGTGCAGTCGATGCGAGATGGCTCGCAGCATCAAGAGGCACGTGGCTAGGGCGGGCTCTCTTGTGGCTCGAGCCGAATCCTGCTCTCAGAGTCTCTTTGATCCCATGTTGCCATGGTGCAAGACGAGGATGGATGGATGGGGTGGCGACCAAAGTTGCATGCATCGACGGCGCGTTCGAAAAGCCCCCCCTCCTGTACACTCTGCGTGTCTGTGCCCGGGCAAGTGTGCTCTGCCCCTCCCCCATCCCGGCTGGCTTGGCTGTCTCATGACGGCGACCTGGCTACGCTGGCCCTTGGCATGTCGGCTGCGAATGCTGGCACGCGTCTCAACCAGGCCGGCTCTCTCCAGCTGCACCCTCCCGGGCACCGCTCGTGCGCCGCGGGTCGGCCGAGGGCGGCGCGGCCCGCACCGGCGGAGCTGGGCCCTACGGGCGACGACGGAGGCGGGGCTTGGCAGGGTGGACGACGACGGACTCCGGCGACGGCGATGGCCGGAGGGGCGGCGTCATGGACGGCGTTGGACGAGCAATGGCAGATGCAGGAGGTAGAGCAGGATGGGCGAGCGGAGGGGTGCAGGGGACGACTGGTGCGACGTCTCTTTTGTTCTTCGGAGAGGGAGGGGGGGTGGTTGTTTCTCGCGAGGCCCGGTACCTTACATGGCCTGGTCGCGGATGCGTCTCTCTCGCGACTACGGATACTTGGTCCATGCTGTACTGTACATTGTAGGCATCTGTCGGCACAGCAGTTAGCCGGACAGCGAGCTTGCGGCCCGGGAAAGGGAGCGAGAGAGATGCAGTCAGCATCGCCAAGGCGCGCCAAATAAAGGGGAAGAGCAAGGGGCTTCGTGTCTGTTGGCTTGGCTGGTCGGCGATCTGCACCGCTGGAGCCGTTTCCACGGGCCAGCCCTTTCTGTAGAGGTGTAACTAGAGGGAGAATGGCGTCGCCATTCACACGCGCGGCCATGTCTCTCTCTCTCCCGTCTCACGCCCGACGGTGATTCATCACTATCGCCCGCCCGCCCACCCATCCATCCATCCATCCCATGTGGGTGAGCGATATCCGTACTCTGTACGTGCTACACTGTGAGAGAGCGTGCGAGGGTCAGCCAGGGTTCAGGTCAGCATCGGCGGACGGCGGACGGCGGACGGTGAAGGGCCGGTGGACGGGCAGATGGATGAATGCCAAGACCACTCAAAAGGAAACAAGCGAAGGGAAAAAGCAAACAGCAAAGCATCCCAGCTTCCACCAAGCCTCACCGACGGTATCGCACGGCTGCGGCCGCCAAGAGAAGCGAGCAGGGGGGGGGGGCGGAGGGGCCGGGAATGGCGTCTCGGAGTGACCCGAACGGGCGACGTCGTAGGCTGCATACAGACGGACACGGTACTTGACGGGTGATGGACGATAGGTTGGGAGGCTCCCGGCAGGTCAAACAAGCTTATAATTACAGTGAGCAGGGGGGAGGGGGGGGACGCGCAATCAACGACGTTTTGTCTCGTCTCTTGATCCTACGCCGGAAGGGGAGGGAGGAAGGGGGGGCGGCTTGGGCATGGTTAGACGTGAGACAGGCTCGCCTTTTTCGCAGTCTCGTTCTCTTGCTGCATGAATGTGTGTGTATTCGTACTTGCGAGGTCAGCGAGATGCAGGAGCAGCAGCAGCAGGAGGAGGAGGAGGAGCAGCAGCAGCAGCAGGAGGAGGAGGAGGAGCAGCAGCAGCAGGAGGAGGAGCAGCAGCAGCAGGAGGAGGAAGAGGAAGGTGCATTTGCGTGTCTTTGTTGGACAAAGGCCGGCTGGCGGTGTTGGTGCTTCTCCCTCTCTCGCCTATCCATCTGCACGAGCCTGGGCTTCTCTTCTTTCCTCCCCCCCATTCCCGACACTGTCTGGCTAATGCGGACACGAGGCATGCCGGGACAAACGACTCACCTCTGTTCTTTCAAGATAGATGGGCAGAACCCGGTGCAACGGCGGGCACAGAGGGCGCGCGGGCAGGCAAGAGACAAACACGAGGGCGGGCGTCCAACAAGCGGATGGGATGGACGCCCTGCCCCCCCAAATCAAAGCGCGTTCTGT